GAAAAAAGGAGAAAAAAAAAAAAAAGAAAAAAACCTGCGACCGGGCGGTAAATAAATAAATAAAGCGGCGCCCGGCCCCGGCTCGGGGCTTTGTTAGAGAAAATTGCGGCTCGATCTGCATAATGGGAACTCGGGCCGCCCAAGGCTATCTTTTTATTGCGTGTGTGTCTGCTGTTATCAATTTTGTGAACGATTTCACAGGGAGCCTGGCAGACTTGAGCTGGAATAATATGCAAAGATGAGCTCTGAATAATGAATGATGTGCTTTTAAACCAATTCCAAAGTGTCTGTGATAGTACAATATGAAAAGGGGTGGTAAGTAATAGTATATTTAAAAGGCGCTAGTATGTTTTTATTACTATATTTAAAAAGATATCTATATTATTTTTGTGAAATGGATAATATATCACGGAGTCTTTGATAATCAGCTAAACAATACATTTTTCTTTGGGAAAACTCTCCCGGTTTTACACAGTTAAATACGGAGCGTCGGCGCACGGCGTTGTACCGCTCGGCGACTTGATTAAATATTAACTCTATTTTAATATTAGCTTTTAAATTTAATATGTTGACGTTCTGCAGTTTTACTTTAATTACGTTTTATAATTAATAACCCGGGACGTACGGTATCCTTAAATGCGGCTCTCCCGCTGCCTCCTCCGCCGTAACCCCCCCGCTCCCCCCTAACAGGGCGAGACGCTGCCGCGCAAACCCCGCGCAAACCCCGCGCAGCCGCTATTTCCACACCCGCCCCGACGGCGCGGCGCTGCCCCGCTCCGGCCTGGGGGGGGCGGCGGAAACCCGCAGCGCGGCCCCGACGGCGGGGCGGCGAGAGGCGGCCACGCGCGTTACGGTGCCGCCGCACGGAGCGCTCCCCGCAGGACGGGCTGCGCCGTTCCGGTGCGCTCCTTTCCAGCACCGCCTCTCCCCGCGCGCACTCCCGCACAACGACAGCGGTGCGGAAACGAAACCCGCAGCAGGTGGATGCCACCTCCTGCCCGCTCCGCCGGGACCGCCGGGGCTGAGTTGCGCGGGTGGCCGGGGTACGGCTGGATGTTCGTCCTGCGAGATCCTCGGTGGGAAGTTTGTTGTCGTAACGTGGCGTGGGCCGAGTGAGCCGCGACACCTGTCTTATTTAATGCTTACCGCTAATTATTTGTAAAGCGTCTGGAATGACACCGAGAGAAAGTGCCGCGGGGTTCCCCCGGCGCTCACAAACCACGGGCACGTCGGTGCCACCGCGGAGCTGCGCGGCTGAGGGCAAGCAGGGCCGGCACGGAGCTGCCGCTGCCCCTCCAGCTCTCCCCGCACTGCTCCGCGCTCCAGACGCCCGCCCTGCACGGCTCCACGCCTCGCCCCCCCCCGCAGGATCCTCGCGTGGGGCCGGAGGCTGCGGCGGCACCGGCGCCGCACGGAGCGCATCTCCCACCCGCTGCTAAGCTGGCCGTCCCGCCGCCGCAAAGAAATCCCGCTCCTTTCAGGGCTCTGGAGGCACTGCCTCATCCCGGCCGTGATGCTCCGCTGCTCGAGGCCGTGCTTCAGCACGCAGGAATCCACGCGTTGCCCCGAGGACCGGCTCTGCTCCCGTCCCAGCGGGCCCGAACTCATCCCGCCGGGCTGCAGGGCTGTGAGAGGGCCGCGCTGCCCCAAAGGCATCGCCCGTTCCTTCAGGTGCCGTCTTTGCCCGTAGAGCGGCACAGAGCAGCCCGAAGGAGGGGGCGGGGGAAGGAAGGGCAGCTCTGGGCATCGCAGCCTGGCGGAGGGGAAGAATCCGAAATGCCACCCCAGGGCAGCAGCTGCAGGTGGTGCGCAGCCCCGGACACCGAGCCCTGGTGGCTTCAGCTCACGTTTGGGCACTTCTATTAGGAAAGCCAAAACTTTTAGTTCCAAAACCACGTCTCGGCCCTCCAATACCCCAGTGGGATGGTGGGGGGGGCAGGATGGAAGGAAGGGAGCTGAACGGAGAGAGCGCAGAGGGTGACGGGCAGATGGGGCCCGGTGCCTCTCTGCCATCTCTGATAACATCAGGCTGAGCCGGAGCCGGCGGGGACGTCCCGGCAGCGCTGCCGGGCATGGACATCTGCTCTGCTGTGCAGGGTGTGGGCTGGGGCTGCCGAGGTGCAGTCGGTCTGTGCCAGCCTCTCCTAATTCTCATTTGCCGCACCAACCTGCACTTGCTGCCCGATTCTTATACTAAATACGACTTTGTTGGGCAAATCGCATTAGGGTGGATGCAGCAGGTATCCATTAAGGTTTATTTATCGTGATACGGGTTGGATCTCACGCTCATAAATAACTTATGTTATGGCTTTTGTTTGTAGAAATGTAACTTACATATTTTATTACGCTTTCTGTAAACCTCAAACAGAACGCTGTCAGAGAAGCACTCCTAACGGCCGCCTAAACTGTGGTACATCACATCCACACCAACATTATTTTTTAATAGGGCAAGGAAGCGCGTTACCCCTCTGCAGTTTGAAAGGTTTGCTGTCATCGTAAACTCCAATAAAACATTAACAAGTCTAAGGAGCTGCTTTACAAAGTGTGCATCGCTCGTGGCTGAGCTTCTTCAGAGCCCCCGGTGCCAGCAGGACGGAGCTGGGCTTTGCTCTCCCTGTGCCAGGGCTGCTCTGCTCCTCTCGAGGCTCCTCGCTCACCTGCAGCGCAGCTGTCGGTGCCTCACTGCGACCACAGAAAGTGCATCTGGGGGGGAATCGGAGCCGTTCTGCAGTCCCAAGCTGTCAGCAGAACCAGACAGACTCGCACTGCTTTCTCGAGAGGAAATCACTGGGGGCCGCATGCAGTCTCCTTCCTGATGTTTTCTCCATCCATCGTTTCCATTTTTTTAGTTTTTATTTTTCTTAAAGTACAAAGAAACTCCAACCCCCTTAAGGCAACAGTGCATTTAACCAGCCAGCCATCACACATCCCTTGGAAGCACAGGAGGAAAATCTGGGCTGCACCCACTTTGCCAGTGGCCTTTTCAGGCTGACAGCACAGACTCTCAACAAAGGACCGGGAGTCATAAAATACACTGCTTTCTGCCATCCATCTCCAAACCAAAAATCAAGCCTGTTTATATGACCAGCTTCTCTGAAGAAGGTCCTGCTGTCAGTTGTTAACCAAAGTTGGAATGCTGCTCAAATACACGTATCCAGTTTGCCCCATTTACAAGATGCGAGTTCTGGGAAGGGACTCATATCCTGTTAAAAGCGGAATTCAAGAAGTGCCACAGAGGGCAGCAGCCTTATGTGAAAGCAAGCCCTGAATCTGAATACTGAGCAATGGGGACACATGGAGCTCTGCTTTTCACCATGCCCAACTTCTGCTCTCAGCAGAGCTGCTAACAAACCAGCATGAGGACTGGTCTCTGAGCACAGCCACTTTGTACACAACCAATATTTACTGTCACCGTATGACAAAAAAAAAAATGGAGTTGCAGAACCCACAAGCTTTCATCTGAGCCTCTAAATGCCAACGTGGGGCTGGGAGGTGACGGAAAGGTTCATACAGCAAACTGCCCAGAGCCCTGGAGCCACCTGCAGGGGAACGGGAGGACCTCCATCCGTCAGATGGACACACGGCTGCGCACACAGCAGGGAACGGGTTCAGCTGTGCAGTCTGTAGAACCTAGAGTGACAACTCTTGTATCCTCATTGCACAGGCAACCAATTATTTACCTAAGGAAAAAGAAAACGTGGCCCCAATACCAACAGTTTCTAATTGCACATAATAGCTTTTGTATGTTATCAACCGATTGACTTATTACTTAAATAGTTCTGATTCTTGTTAGATCTTGCTTCATTTGTCACTGGCACCCTGTGCCCACCTCAGGCCCTTCTTCACTGTGCTGCACAGAGCAGTGCTGTGTGTGTGTGTGTGAGTGAGTGTACTGCAGACCCAAGGAGGGCTTCTGGTTGGTACACACGGAGCTCTTCACCACCTCTAAGTGGTGAAGACAAATCTGCTGAGTTTGCTGGTTCAGATGCACGTATTCATCTTCATGCCACAAGCCATGTAAGCATGAGCGATATGTCTTTGGATCTGCTTGCTTTTTTTTGTAGGAGTCGATGCATTTTATCCTGTTTAAACAGCATCATAACATTTAGCAACTCCTTTCTGCCCTGGTTTCTCCATCTCTCTACGTTTCCAAGGACCTGGAAAACTTGTGCTGGTGAAACTCAGATCCCGTCAGTGTTTCAGTAACAGCAGCTCCATCAGGTCTCTTATATGATATGCAACATTCTTAATTTCCTGGCCATACTTAAGAGCCTAAAGTGCTTACCTGTAGTCCTCCATTTCCTCATGTACACTGTCATGCTCTTTGGATAAGTACTGTTTCTACACCGTTTCATAAAGATAAAAGAAAAAGATAGTAAATTTTGCTAAGAAAGGCAGAAAATGTTGACTTTACATTGCTTTCACTATTGCAAACCCTTATGTTTATACCAGAGATATAAAAAGGCAGAAGTTATCTAAAAAAGTAGTTTCCGCAAAGGTCAAAATCTAACAATATAGCAGGGCTCCAAAGCTTTCAGAACAGATTTATTAGCCAGCTCTGCTTTCCCCAGTCCTTGACAGTTCTTCATTCCCAAGCTGCCCGCATCGGCCGCCCCTTCACAGTGCAGCACCTCAGCCATGTCCCTTCGGAACACTGACACGTTCTGGGTGAACCTGGACAGAAGAAAACCCAACAGTTGGTTAGCAGAGACCTGACATTGATCTCAGTAAATGGTAAAAAGAATAACGAAGATGGAAATTGAACTGAAAGAACAACAGAGGAAAATGGAAAAAAAAAATGACTGCATGCTCTCAAAAAGTTCTGCAATACAGCAATGACCTTAGAAGTGTATTTGGACAGCATTACAAACTCAGCCTACCAATGGCATGAGTCACATAACAAGTCTGCTGGGAACTGAATGCAATGAGGAGCCTTTCCCCTCTTGTGTGATTCAGAACCCTCCCCAACCTCCAGCACAGGACTCTCTGGGACGCACCTAGATGGTCACCAACTCCAGGCTTCCCCGCTGCCACCGCCCTCCCTCATGAGCACCTGTGAGACACTGCACCATCACCCATCTGGCACAGAAGGAGTATCAACAACAGTTCTCTGCTGACAAGTGCAGGATGGGACATCCATCCCACGGCACCGCCTGAGACTGAACGACGAGACAGTCCAAATCTGCCCCACTTCCCTGGTTTACCTTCAAGTGAAATGAAGTGCTTCATTGCCATTTATCACATACCGCTCGTGTGCTTAAAAAAATATTTAAAATGTCAGGAAAATATATAAGCACACTGCATTTAAGGTCTTTGGGTCATCTTTTGTTTGTAGCCTCAATGCTCTCTGCTTTGATTGTCAGGCTTTGCTGGTTTGCTACAGCAAAGCTAATAAAGTTTGCCAAAGAATGGCTCCTTGGGGCTCCTTCTTGCACAGGGCTGCACAGACAGGTGCTTGTGGAACTGATGTGAGCTCAGGCCAGGTCTCCTTGCAGGAAACAGGGAAATAATCCTTCCTGCCTACCTCCACAGCACTGTATTTGATGAGTATGCGTAACTGCAGTGTGGTAAACTGGATGTGTGTGGAAACACAGGATGCAATTACGAGTTCATTCTTTATTCTATTCATAATTTTTTTTTACTTTTGTGTTTATTTCCTTACTAATGGAAATTGATTTCTGCTCGAATTTAAACAATCACCGTTAAAAGAAGCCTCCTGTTCCACAGAATAAATCAGCCAAGGATTACGAATCAAGGGCTGAAAACAGAACAGCCATCGTATTAACTCATGCTGCTTGCTGGGAAGTGATGGCTTAGAAGTCTTCCTAAGTTAGACAGGCGGATGCTACCCAGACAGACGAGCTGCTCGTCTGACCGAATTATCCCCGTCCCCCTCACACCTGCACCCATCTCTCCCTGCTGCAATTCTACAAAAGCTCCCCGAGAGCTTCCACACCACCGCCCATCTGACAATGCTCCACAGAGCTCAGAGATGAAAATACGCTTTAAATCTACATATATTTAAATCTAATGCTTGCCAAATCTAATCTTTGCCAGCAGTCCTCATGATGGAAGCCCCTGTCTGCTCCCTGAGCAGGGAGGGCAGGGAGAAGAGAGCCGCATCCCTGTTGCTTGGCTCATGGCTGGTGTGGGGGGGCTCAGCCTCCTGCCACCCCACCTCCCTCAGCCCACATTAGAACATCCAGCAGTCTCCTTCTGCCCTTAAAGTCCACCTTCTTGGAATAAGGCAGAACCTGCACATCAAAGCCTGCTTTTCTCCGAAAACCGTGTTATCTTGAGGACTTCTTGCCTTCAATAAGAATAAATAGATACGGAACTAAGAAACTATCAAGTTCTAGGAATGAGTTTTGCTCAGTTCCTCATTTGTTCATGTTTCTTTTCTTTCTGTGTGGTTTTATTTATTTATGTAATCCAGAAGGACTTTTGAGTCAAATGACTCCCCCTGGCATTCACAGCTGCAAAGTCAGCCCGTGTCCTACAGCTCACCACCATCAGCTCAATTTTTTCTTTCTTTAATGGGCACTCCTGTCCTTTCTGATGTCTTTTTGCCTTTTCCCCGGTTTTCTCCTGACCCATAACAAGTTACACAAAGTCTGTCAAAGTTATTGCCAAGGATGTGATCTGTGCTTCTCTGTGTTCACTTCCAAATCCTTCTTTCTCTGCCTATCGTCGACTGTCAGGCCATAAGGAACTTGTTTTAATACTGGAATTTAACAGGAAAATGAAACAAAATAACAGAGTCCAAAATCAATGCAAAACTATGTAAGGATTAAAAAATAATCACCAATTTCCACAGCAACAAAGAGAAAAGAAGTTGGAGAAATAAAGTCAGAAAATGGTCTTAGTCATTCTGTCCAAGACATTCTCCAGGTTGTTTCAGGCCTTGCAGGGAGCCCCACAGTCAGGACTTCGATTGTGTCTCCATAATTTCAGGGTTTGTTTTGGCTGAGTAATGCACACAGACTACAAGACCAGAGCTACCTGGTAACAAAGAGTGAACATTCAGTGCTGACAGAAGAAATGGTGAGTCTGCCAAGTTCCACTCTGCTTTTCAACTGAGGGCAAGATTGGTTGACTTCGTGATTTGTGTTACCAAAAAAATTACCCTTGCCATGTTTATCTACAGATTCAGGCTCCAACTGCTCAGTCTAGGGATAAGTTCTTTTATGGGGAATGACCCTTCTTTTTAAAGGAAGTAATTCAAGGCTACTTGGGATGCTTCCTGCATTATAACTTTTTCCAGTCGATGCTTCCATTTGTCTTTTTTTTTTCCCAGCTTACTTACGTCTTAACTCACCAGTCTCTGTTCTCCACTGAAAGGTTCTGCTCAACTCCTTTCATGAGGTTCCTGAAGCACTGCTCAAGGACTTGCCGTTTGCTGCCAGGCTGGCTGTTTATCAAAGTTGCCCTCAGCTCACTGAAGTACTGTGATAAAGAAACAGAGAACTTCAGAACAGTGATTTGGAAGTTTAAAGCCAAAGTTACTCACCTGCGCCAGGAGGATTCTTGAACAAAAGCTTCACAGGCTGCCCTCTGTGAGAGGAGCTGGGCAAACTGCAAGCAGATTTAGGTGTCCTGAGCTGCACCAGCTTCAGTCCTACCTCACCACTAAAATTTAGTGAGGGGCCACTTTCTGAGGTCCAACACATAAAGCCACCTGAGAGAGGTGATATAAATGTTCCCTGACTCCTTTTTAAGTCTTTTTTGAATGGTGCAAGTGTGCATACCTCACTGCAGGATCTAATCCACTGTACTGCTGAGATGAGACAGACTCATCCTTGCTTCTTTAGAAGCTAGGTATTCTATGGCATTTTCTGTATTACTATATCCATTATGTCCTGCTTGACTAGTTAAAATAGAACTTTTTACCACCTTTGGACAAATTTTGGTTAGCCTAGCAATAAGGAATGGGATGCGATCTCCAGAGTCACCCAGCTACGCTATTTCTTTAGCCAAAGAAGTTGTATCATCCTGTTTAGTCTTTATTGTACTGATTACATAGACCAAAGTCTTCTGGCCTTGGGCAAAAGCACATCCACAGTATGAACACTGATAGAGACAATTATTCAGAGGTGAATGAACTATTCTGCTGAACCTGTGCCCAAGCACCTGGCAGAGGTTCATAGCAGTCAAGAAGGACATTGCTGGTGGCCTCCACCCCATTTTACAGTACCTTCCCCACACCTAATCATTTGAGAGGTAGGATAGCAGTTCTGTCCACAGACACTGCCACAGAAAGTTCCACCAGTCCAAGTTTTACCATCAATAACCAAGTCAGATACATAGCAGCCACTCTAAAATCAATGTGGTCTTTTGGTTCAAGAATGACAACAAATTAGAGATAAAAGCTTAAGTGACCACACTGACAACTGCTAAGACAATTTGGTCAAAAGCATGCAGGAAAGCCTAACCTCATCTCCATGTTTCAGTTGCACATCAAGAAAACTCGTTAAAAGAAGGCTGAAAAGTGTTTTTAGCATGCAAAATGTTAACAGCCTTTTGAAGTTGATTTAAAAAAAAAAAGGATACACCAGGCTTCAGGGTGTCATACAGACAGACAAAATGCATGCCAGGGATTTGTTTAACCCCTCAGTGTAAAACCTGTTAAATTTCAAACATGAGCTTCCTTCATACCAAAAATACAGGTCTCTCGTATTTATGCAAAAATATGGGAAAACGTAGTAAAATCAGGGCATTCCAGATTTAAGCCCATGACAACTCAATAGGGTTACAGGAATACTCAGAGAGCTGAGGCACTGGTGCAGGTTGCCCAGAGGAGCTGTGGGTGCCCCATCCTTGGAGGTGCCCAAGGTTGGTCTGGATGGGTTCCTGGGCAGCCTGATCTGGTGGGCAGCTATCAGCCCACGGCAGAGGCTGGAGCTACGTGGGCTGTAAGGTCCCTTTCAACTCATACTATGATTCCATAATAGGAAGTGAAAAATCCCTTTAATTTCTGCTTGGAACCTGCCTTCAATCCAGCTCCTTTCAAAACAGACACATCCCGTATCACACTTCTGTGCTAGTTGCTACAGCACCTGCTGATCAAACAGCTGGATCCCAAACTATGCATGAACTCAATCTTGAAAATCGCGTAGGAGCTGGTGTAAAAGATGAAATACCTGTCTGCAACAAACACGTTCCCTGAAGCTCTCTCAAGGTGACAAATGCAGAGTTCAGTCTAGAAAAGGCTGCAACCCTGAGATCCTCTCCGGTACTCACAGTTTTGGAGCAGAGCTTCTTTAGTCAACCCCACAACGGAAAGTCTTACCAATACCCTCCCTAACAGCAGGAATTACACCTCTGTCTAATGTCCCTGCTGACAGCCTCAGCTGAGGACTCTCCCATGGCATCGCTGCTCCAGCACTACAGAGCTGCTCTGAGCCCAGGGGCTTCTAGGGCTTCTCTGCAATAACATCACTTCTGCCCATGCACTCATATGCTTGTGATCTTCTTTGGTTGAAGAACAGCAAGAAGGAGATGCCAGGATCCTGGCTGCCATCAGGATTTAAATTAAACTTGCTGCCTCACTTTGGGAGAGGAACGATGTCAGGAGTCACTGGAAACCATCTCATTTGATATCAAGCTGACTCTGTCTCAAAAGATTTAGCATTGTTTTAGGGTGGACTCTGAATACAACTCCCATTTTGGCATAACTCAGCCTATCAGGACAAGCAAGTATGAATCCTAGCTTTCCTCAGTCCCCAGGTAAACCAGCCGCCTTCCCTTTGAGATGAACTGTAGGCAAGGGAAGTATCATTAAAACAAAAGTAGATGAGAACAAACAGTAAAAGTAAAATGTGGTTAATGTGTGCTTGCTATCACAGGAGATGTACAGACTGATACCCCACCTGAAATAAAGCACTCCACTTTCAATAAATAAGCTAGCAGTGTACTGAAGCGAGCCGAGGAAAGATGACTCTTACAGCTGTATCTAAGTACATTACCTACTTTTTTCTGAACACAAAATAATATGTTCCATGCAAAGAGGGCAATGCAAATATTGCAAATTATATTTTCTGTTTTCCATCCTTCCAGAAGAAAATGTAAGGCTTGTTGATAAGTAACGGCTCTTGTACAGTGTCTGCTAAGCAAAACACAAAATCATTAGAACTAGTCTAATTTCAGTAAAAAGAATATTCTGCCAGTCACGAATTTATTTCTTGTGATTTACAGCTCCGCAGTTTTATCTTCAAGTGAAATATTTAATTTCTTCTCATACTGAAGCAGCTAACATCAAAAAACACATAATTAATATGTAGTCAGGCTAATACTTAAACGCTATAAATCAGAAGCATTATATAAACAAAAGTGTCGTCTTGAACAAGATTGGGAATGCACAAAACTACTTATTTCCCACTTTTATAATGATGCAGTGACTCAGAGCAGATAGAAAATGATTAGTTTTCCTTCCAAAGTAGGAAATATTGCTTCCATCTGTAAAGTATAATATTGTGATGTCATAAAGTTTTCCTAAACACTGAATTTGCCCTTATTCCCTCTCAATCATTTTAAAAGAACTGCTCTCTCTTATAGAGCCTGGATTTAAATCACAATAACACACCAAGAAGATGAATGACAGTGCTATTGGATATGGCTAAAATTGGATCCTTCAGCACAGGTGAATGATGAGACAGCGCTTCTCTTCTTGATATATTTTCTTCTTCTATTAGTTTCCTTCCATAGCTGGGATTTCAGTTTGAATTTTAATGTATGCAGTTGCTGCTAATCTTAGTGTCTTATTTTTTTCCAGCACCCTCTTATTGTATAGACAATTCATTCTCCAAAGCAGTAATACACTGAGGCTTGTGACTGCCCAAGATATAAAGCAATTCAGAATAAAGTTAGAGCCAGCTCTGAACTGTGGCAAATACAACAGGTCAGTATCTTCAGAAACAATGCCTGGCTATACAAAAAAATGCACACATTTAGATCAATTCACATTCATTTACTCAGATGGTTTCCATTTCTGACAATATTGTCTCTATTAAGTCACAAGGGAAACATGATGGGTATATCCAAATTCATAGTTTCAGATTTTATTGAAAGGGCAAATTGCAGAGTATTTCCTGGTTTATATGATTTGCCACAGATGAACACAATCCAAATTGCAATCAATGCTGGTACTTAAGTGTAAGAGCTCAGATAATATCCTCAAAGCTGCTTGTTCCTGTGAAACCTTTCAGAAAAAGGAATTGGTTAACTATTTTTCTAGGAAGCAATTTTTTCTGATGTGATTTCCACAGTGTTCTTGTTTCAGTGCTGTATCTAAAAGCCAGATGAGCTTGCCTATCATTTCTACTTTATTCTGGAAAAGCAAAGATTTAAAATCTATTAATAAGAAGAAGAGAATAAAAGAGGTTTGCTATATTTGCATGGCCTAAGGTTGAGTGTGAAAGCTGGGGTAAAGTTTGAGAAGATTTTCTCATCAAAATGAAGCCACTCAGCCTTTGTGAACAAATCTGTAAAATATTACCTGGTACATGAGCTGAGCTTTACTCTTAGCGTGGGGCTAAGTGAGTTAGGTTCCAAGGAAAGAGGGAGGGGATTTGAAAAGGCCACAGGCAGCTTTGTTCTGTCTGAAATAATGATTTCAACTGCTTGGGCACGTCAAGAGTGCATCTGGTAGAATCTCTTAAATACTCACCTTCTCATTGAGAAGTCCAAGCAATGGTCCTGACACAGACTGTTGGTTCCTGCAGTCCTCAAAAACGATGGTGTTCATTGGGATTAACATCATCTGAAAGAAAATTCCAACAGTTTGGCGATCAGGAAAAATTAACAAAGCTTTACTAATCATGCGGAGATTTCCTGGATGGGCACGGTATCCCAAAAGTCTTTCTTCCAAACAAATATTTCTGTAACCACAATTACCAGGTGAAGAAATGAAGAAAGTGAATGTTAAAGCTTAGCTCCAAAGTCATAATTACAGAAGTCAAAACAAACAGGAACAGAAACTTAAAGTTGTGTTTATTTAAGGTACAGATTCACTTATAGGACAGTAATATATGTGTGGCCAGCAATCTGTGTTTGTTTCAGATTAATCTCAAGGTGCTATTCGAGATCCTGGTTTTCTCACACCCACCTCCTCCTTCTTCAAAGGCATTTGAAAGGAACCTCAATTCTGATGAAGGTAATCCCAATCACAGCAAGGCATCTAGAAATCTACATCAATTGCAAGGCAGTTACAAATCCAAGTCCGTGGTTTTGGACATTTTATTTCTGTTACTTAACTTACAGAGATCTACAGCAGGCATAAAGCCACTTGATCAACTTTATAAATCACTGAGACTTATCAATCCGTACAACTAAGTTCTTCTGGCTCTCGAGCAGAAGACAGGTAACTCTCATTGTTGGCTAGCTGTAACCAGAGCCTTTGGCTACCACCACAACAGGTATTCTCCCCTGGGGGCCCCTGCTGGTCTTGCTGTGCATCTACACTGCTGGTGTGTGTAGCTAGGGAGGGTGGGACTTATTTCAGGGATCAGCACCACTTTCGTAAAAATAAATCACAAAAGAGCTATAGAATCCATTTAAAGACAAAATCCGTAAAGATATCCTGGAGACACAGCAGTCCCAAATGCCAAAGGCCATAACATATCCGAATCTAAAAACATTACTCAAAGATTAAACAGAACGAAAATTTGTAAAATGTCACCCGTAAATAGTTTGACTCACATTTATAAAATATCTACACCCTAAAACCAAACATAGAGGAAGAAGAAAATCATTAAATCCTTTCTTTTAGGCCAACGAGTAGCTATGAGCAGGGTCTCCAGAGAGCTGCCACACTACAAACTCGCCTGTAATAACTGACCAAGGCTAAGTCAAACAGCATGTTTCACTAAATGAAAAAGATGAATCCTAGCACTACAAATCACCTGCAACAGAGATATCCACAAATTATTTGAGCTTTCAAGTTAGGAACATAAGGTCTGACGAGGGAAAGGCCCATTTTAATCCAGACTCCACAGTTTATACATCAGGCAAAATATCTTCCATTACTCATAGGACAAAACCACCTCTATGCTGCTTTGCAACTAGTGAAAGCAATCCAAATATCTCTGTACAAGCACTTTCCAGGCACGAGCAATAATTACAGCACTTTATATGTAGGTTACTCCAAAAGTAACGTGTCCTATTTATTTCCCTGGAAACTACAACAGACACAAAGAGCACAATAACATTATTTGATAGAGCAAATTCTCAGCTACAGAACACTGTTTTTCCACATAATCACCACCAGTAGCAATGCATTTTCACCAGTGATGAACAAGAGCCTGCATGCTGCTGCACCTGTAACAATCTGCACCAGCAGAGGTGACCCACTGCTGCTGTCACCACTGCTGTAACACAGCACCTACCCCTCACTGTGCTCACACCCACTGTTTGTTCTCCATAAATGTACAGCAAGCATCAATGAATGTCAACGGGTGCAACTTTTTCCACATGGAGGAATTCAGTTCCACACCTCTGCTTCACACGCAGCTGTATCACCACCAGTGCTGACACCTTTCTACAAGGTTGCCCATGTTTAAAGGAACTGCTGGGACTTGTGGCACCAGCTCACTGACACGAAGAAGGCTTAACAACACCTGTCTGTGAACGCCCCAGAACAGTGATTAATGCTTTTCTTCAAGTTACAGAAGCTTATTGCTCTCAGAGGTGGACAATATGCAGTCCCACCGTGTTGTCTCTGCAGATGTCTTACACGTCTCACTTCTCACAAGGCTAAAGAGAAGTCCCTTATGTGTACAGCTCAGCAGCAAGAGATGCAAGAATAAAATGGGGCAATGCTGTCTATGGAATCCAAAGTTGTCAGGAGTGCATTACAGCAGAAGCCATCAGCAATTACTGTGCCTAATTCCATCAAGACGAAGGGTACTAAAATCCATGATAACAGCCTCAAATGTCCTTCTGTTTTCTATGTCTTTCCATCACAACTACTGCTGCTGCTGCTTTGTTTTACTGTGTAGCAAGGTTTCCTGTGCTGTTTCCACAGCAAGCTGTTAGCATTCCACATCCTTCTTTGTTTTACAGCGCTGCTGACACACACCAAAAGACACTGCGCCCATGAACAAGCGCATGGAGGTCACCCCTGCTGCACAGAACTGAAGTTTAAGTGACGCAGACCAAACAACCTCATCTGCAAGGCAACAGAGCTAGTCTAGACGAGGCTCATGCTACTTCGTAATGAAGCTTTGCCTCAGCAGACGGCTCGCTCACTGGCAGTGCACCAAACTTGAAGCCTTTCTCAGGCACAAGTAGCAGGCTGCCACTTAATTTCATAACTCCACCTCACACCCCTCTTGTTTTCACACAACGCAGAACGGCTCCCTCCCACACTGACAAACAACATCCTCAGTATCCTCCCTCAGACCTCACGTGGCCGTTATCTGGCTCCATTCCCACTAGCTCATGTCATCAGGAGAAACAGGGTGTGAGGAAATTTCCAGATACACAGCTCCATCTGTACGGCCGTTTCTGTCGTTCAGATCACAAAGGAGCTGGAACTTGTTTTGTGGAGGACCTTAGAAATAACGTGCCTCTCCCCCTTTGTATTTGATTTGCCGACACATACTGACGGACATTCGTATTTATGATGCAACACACAGAGCAATGATGGTGGTGCTGCCCAACCACCCGAGCAGCAGGATGGAGGCAGCCCCAGGCCGGCGCCGCCCCGCGGCCATTAGCTGCAGGCAGGCGAGGCGCAGCAGGCCCAGCGCCGTGTGACACAGGCGGAAAGCGAGGCCTGAGGTGGGGACAGAGGCGTTAACAAGGAAGGGGCTGCAGAAGCAGATTATCTATTTTCTATGAAGTTCAAACTGGCACCCTTGTCTCTGTCCTCTTATCTTAAATGTAAGGCATCGCTTTATCTGGTTCAATAATGTTTCTCCTGACACGTCTGTTCTGTACAAAAGAAACTATTGACAGAAGAGGCAAGAGTAAAGAACTGTTCTTCCAATAAATTAATTCTTCAGAGCCTCTTTGCCTTCAGAGCTGCTTTCTCTCTGTAGCAGTGGAGGAAAGCGTTGCTCAAGACAGCCCTTATTTGGGTTTCATTTTTCTAAAGAAGCTGGGAAAGAAGCTGTCTTTCCATTAAAAAGGTTCTTCTGCTCCTTCATGTATCAGTAGAGCAGAACGAGCACCAAGCAGGTCCTGTAACTCACTTCTCTCTCCCACACGTTGGGATAAATATTTTATTCTAATGCACCTAATCACATTTCTAATGTAAAGAACGTTACATTAAAAGCACAGACAGCATTAAGTAGACCTTCACAAAAGACCCAGAACGCTCTAAAAACACACAGGTTATGGCCAGGCACTTGGCTGGTGAGAACACGTTCCAGTCAGATCCGAAAAAGATTCCCATTTCATTGTTTAGCTCCAAAACTTGGCAGATTTTATAGCTCTAGCTTCAGGCAGTCTGCTCTTAATTTAGGAGCTGTGATTACTAATTTAAATGTCCGTTAGAGTTCTCAGTTCTTTCATCATCAATTCTTTCTATATCAATAAATGGATCATCATTTAACTAATAATATTCAGAAGATTCAAATGCTCCAAGATTATTAAATACCTTAAATTTTAATCTGTTGTTTTAAAATATTTATTTTACTAGAAAGCCTAACTTTCAGATTGATATTTTCCACTTGGAGTTTCTGTTCAAAAAATAACACTTCCAAACGAAATAAGAAAACTAAAGCCTTGTACTTATTTTGAAAGTAAGAACAAGTCAATCACTCCTGAACTAAAAAATACTTTTCACTTGTCAGAAATTGCAGATCAATTGGAATTTGAAAAATGTAAGAGTTTAAGGGCATATAATTCCCATATCTATATATATGTGTGTGTGTATGTATTTAAGTATACACCACTAACTAAAATTTCATGACTCAACAACAGAAGCTTAAGAAGCTGCAGGAAAGTCTTAGAATAAGACTGTTAAGGACCCAATCTTGTATCTCAACTGGGTCGGGCCTTTTTGCTTCCTTTTATGAAAACAGCACCGAGGTTTAAACTGTCAAATAAAAAAACAATGAAAAAAAAAAAAGGCAGGGCATCTGGGTGACATACCTCATGCCAACAACTAGTATATATCTGCAGCTCATGAACTGAAATATGATTTAAGCGTCCGTCTCTTTCACAGGGTATTCCTACCAGTTATGTGTTATATCGTGTAGGAGGGTCTCTTTTTTTAAAACCGGTGTTCAGAAGGGATGGAAAAGATGACAGTAGATGTGAAAAAGGGAACGGTTACAGAGTGTGGAACTCGTCATTTCCCTGGATATGTCTTTAGAACTGGCCAAAGGGCTCTAAGTATGGGAGTGCTCACTTGAAGTAGGTCCAAATCACAAGCTAGAAGAAATAATCACACAATAAGATTGTACTAACTTATGTCAAACCTGTCTTTGTATCTGAAAAAGAAACATAAGCACATACTCAGAAAGATACATTTAGGATGATAGCTTAAGGCTAATGACAAGCACCTGCAATGCGCCCAATAAATTTACTATACCAGAGCCACTGAAAACAGGTTTCTATTCCTTCACTGTTAAAATAAAACCGGCACAATAACACAGACCAATAGGGCAAAGCAGACTTTTCAAAACTAAGGCTTGCTTCCAGCACTTCCTACCAGTAGTGAGTCAGTAGTGAGTGCCTTTCAGGCAGCCGCCAGGATCCCAGCAGCTGTTTGCACTGCGCTAGGATGTAATGAGGGCAGAGCTGGAGCACGGGCAGCAGCTGCATCCTGCACACAAGCTGGCCAGAGCAAAACACTGCCCTATACTCTTCCCTCTAATTTGAGGACATATTCTAACACGACAGAACGCATTATATTCGTACTGCAGTTGCCTCTAAACTGTTACGTGAAAGTCTAAGACGCTGGATCCTTTCTTGCCTCTCAGAAGCAGATCCCTCTATCCTAAGGGAGACCTTGTTCCTGGGTCAGCTGGCATCCATCCGGGAGGAAAAGAGATGCCAGCTGACTGCTGCAAACCCTCAGTAAGGTGGTAAGCTTGTGGGACAGAGCAGGTCTGCCCAGCACATGGGCTGGCTCATTAAATACTGGCAGCAGAACAGTTAACTGCGAAAACACGGAAGATGCCTGATGAATGGAACACCTCCTCCTTCTGCAGGGAGGAGGGGACACGGTTCATTAATTGTTACCTTCCAGAGTATGCTGACTTGTTTCCGTCTGTGCTGAATTTCATGTAGAGCCTCTGCTGAATGTCACATACTCACGCTGCCTGAAGTGCTAGGTTTTGTATTTGGATATCTGGTGCAGCTGACAGATGTTTACAAACTCATGTATCTGCACAGCTTCTTTCTGCCTATCCATCTGTGCTCCCTCATAGGCAGCAAATTATTCGACCTCAGGCTGGAATAACTTATGACTGTAACATCAACTCTTCGTCTGCATTTTTAGGTGGTATTACCCCGAGATTTTCAGTTACAGATACTGGGGCGGTCATGTTAAATTAACCTGGGCTGTCTATTTAAGAGGCAGCTCTTTCTAAATAAGTGGCCATAACTTACAGCATTGCAGCTGTTTTTAAGGATGACGGAAGCGTGATTAATTAGGACTTTGGGAACACACAACTTATCACGTCTGAAACATAAACTTCAGGTTGGTTTGGTATAGGAGACAGCTGAGCTCTTTAAAATCCTTATAAAAAATTAATACACACTCCTCTCTGCTCTTATCAATAAAGAAGAGGAAGCTGGGTTCAGATCTGTGCAAAATAGCTCGTGTCAGCTCGGTTGATTGCTAGCATTCCTCCCAGCCCGCAGGATAAGGGCCTCTCCCTTCTTGCTCAGCCAGCACTCCTACCTGAGAGGTGGCGGAGGAAGAGGTTGGTGTCCACCACCAGCACCTCCCAGCTAATGCCTGTTGCAGAGTATTTCATCCTCTTGGGAGGAGGGGATGGCAGCTTCACACTACATCCACTGCCTTCCAGCAAGAGTGTCTCTTCAGGAATGTAAATGGCCCTACATCTGCATCTCAGGTCTTCCCCCCAGCTAACAGCAGGGCTTACAGTGTGCAGTTCCTCACGCGCAGTTCAGTCCTGCCTTCCGTTCCATCAAGTGCTGGGAGTTGGTGCACAAAAGCAGTGTGGGATTTCAGCACTGCAGAAGGGTTTCAGCATACGAATTGATCTCTTTACCTGCAGGATCATCGCTTTTCTGAAATCTCTGTTACAGGAGGGCCTCCAAATGGCCAGTCGGGTGGCAGGGATCTGTGCAGCCCTCCTAGCCCTGCACATCTCACACTGACGCTG